AAAAAAAAAAAAAAGAATTAAGAGGCTTGATGCAAGATTGGATGTGATAGGCGAGGCAGAGGAAATATCTCTGATAATTTTCTATTTGGCATTTGTTGGGATAGAGAAACATTTAAAAGGCTTGATCACATTTAGAGAAAAACATCCACAGTCAGTTTTGACCATACTAAGTTGAAATTGCTTGACACATCAAAGTAGAGATATCTAGTACATAGTCAGACAAGCAGGACTAGAGCAGAGGTCAGCAAATTATGACCCCCAGGCCAAATCTGACCTATCATCTGTTTTGTAAATAAAGTTTTATTGAACAGAGTCACTTTCATTTTATGTGTTATCTGTGGCTACTTTCCTGCTACAACTTCATATGTGAATAGTTAAAACACAGTCAGTTTGAGGCTTAAAACCTAAAATATTTACCAAGTGGTCCCTTACAGAAAGATTTTGCTGGTCTATAGCTTAAAGTGGTATTCACAGAGTTATCAGCACACAAATTAAAATGATGAAAATGAATGAGACTTTCTAGAGAAAGTATAAGACAGAAGGGAGGCCTGGAATAGAACCACGAGGAGCTACAGATATAAAGACATAGAAAGGTAAAGCCAGATAAGCTGCAAGAAGACTGAGGAGGAATGGCTAGAAAAGCAAAAAGGAAGCCAGGTGCACCCTGTGTTGTTTAGTCGAAACATCAAATAAGATTTTTTTTAAAAAGACAGTTATTAATTGACGTGGGAGTGTTATTGACTGTAGCACCTCCACAGGGGCAGAGTCCAATGAGACGCTAAGGAAGAAAGTGGCTGATAGCTGGCGTTGTGCATGTGGGCAGACTAGTCCCTGAGGCTTCTGTGAATGCTTCATGAGGCATAAACAATAAAAAAGTGAGGTAAATGACCAAATAAAGGAAGCAAGGAGAGCCAACTCAGGGTAGAATCAATACTGGTCAGCAGAACATGATTGTAAGCAGCATGATCAAGGGACACAGGTCAAAGCCAAAACTCAAAGTTACACAAGGGGTGAAGGTATCCGAGGATGGAAACACCCATCCCAAGGCTTGGAGAGGTTGGACACAGTGGTGGAACAATGAACATAAAATAATTAGAATTCAGCACTCAAAGCTGTCCCTGGAGATGACAATCGAGATGCCAAGAAACTAAATAAAAGATTCAGAAAGACAGAAGACTATGGTTGGAACGGAGATTTAAAGAGATTGGGTAAACTACACAAAAAGATGAAATGGCCAATGGTTAGACTCCAGGGAAATTAGGGCTAGCAAGGGACATTTGATGGTAGACTAAGATTGTACAGAAGCAAAGGATATTGTCCTGATATTTGCTTATGCAGGGTCAAAGGCCCGTACGGCACAGGCTGAGACCACACCCGACTACCAATAGGTCCTGCTAACAGGAGCAGGCTGGGTATGAAGGACGGTAGCCAGAGGCCTCATACACATAACCATGACTCTCAGGTATTTTTATTTCTGTATACATCGAGTTAATGCAGCAGTCTACAGAGCACAGAGATCTCTATTTGCTGAGTCCAGATGCAAAGAGAAAGCTTTGAGGAAAAATCTCACTCCTCTTTGATTAAGAACCCTGAATTACTTGACTTTTAGTAGCCAATATCTGGTTTGATTTTAAATAGATTTTACATGTCCTGAGGAACACATTTTAACTATTTTCAAACATCTAACAGTAAGGCTTTTTCAATGCCACTGATAAACTTCATTTTGAGTGTCAAACACCATGCTGCAACCATACTTCCTGGAATAAAGCGTAAATGGTGTGTGTGCTGTTTAAAAAGCCCCCAAGTAAATCTATTTCATTTCTCATCTACCTAGCTTTACTAGTAGCCCACATCAACCCCTTCGCTCAATGTGTAAAGCAAGGGTCCTCAAACTTTTTAAACAGGGGGCCAGTTCACTGTCCCTCAGACCGTTGAAGGGAGGGACTATAGTTTAAAAGGACAGGCAGTGCCTAAGCAGGACAGGCAGCAGCAGCAAAAACACCCAGCAGGCTGGATCAATGTCCTGGGCAGGCCACATGTGGCCCGCGGGCCATAGTTTGAGGACGTCTAGTGTAAAAAGAATCCTTGCCTTAGTTGAGAACCCCTAGCCAATAGGCTAAGCAAATAAATTCAATTTGCAAAAAACTTCAAATGAAACATGAGGACACAAATTACTGAAACATTGGTCATTGAACAACTCACCTTTCATAAAGGAAGCCAAGGCCACCCTGTCCACTATCCTCTGTGTCATGTTGGTCACTGGCGTATATGCCACCACTGTGTCAGAGTTGTTAAACTGATCCACACTTCTCAGGACATAAGGAGGTTGTTCAGGAAAGGGGAGATAGCCCTAAAGAGTTCTGAAAAGAGGCACAAACACAACCCTGGAGAGGATGCTGCCATCCATCCCTCCAGCACACAGAAGAAAAATGAGTCTTGTTATAATGTATTTCAGAACAGTGAGAAATGCCCAAATATATATTAAGACAGACTATATTGCCACATAGCACAGCTTAATTTTAGTCTCTATTTTTTTTCTTTTCCAATTAATGTCTATTCTTTAAAGAAAAAAATCCTTTTAAAAATGTATGACTTAGAGATAATGTAAGTCAGTCCATCTTAACCCAGGGCATTCCTAATTGTGAAGCCACCATTGATTTTATGCCCTCATAGGTAAAGCAACTTAAGTACACAGCATCTCATAACTGACATGCTCACCAAAAATATTTAAGCTGAATTGAATTAAGCTTTTAGATTTAAATCTCTGTTTACAAGAAATGTAGATGATAAAGGGATGAGTTAAATGAAAGCATGAAGAATCAATCTGATAAAAAGAGAACTTGGAATATTCAAGGGGAATAACTAAGCCAGGCACCCTCAAACTATGGCCCACAGGCCACATGCAGCCCACCTAGGACATTTATCCCGACTGCCGGGTGTTTTTGCCACTGCTGCCTGTCCTGCTTAGAGCCGACTCGTCCCAGGGCCCGCAATCCAGCCCTCCAACAGTCTGAGAGACAGTGAACTGGCCCCCTGTTTAAAAAGTTTGAGGACCCCTGAATATGCCTGGTTTGAACAAACTAAAAGATATTTGGGGGAAATTTAGGAATTTGGCTATGAAATTAGATGATTATAAGGAATAATTGTTAGTTTTGTGTAATGGGATAGTGGTTATGTGGGGGTAAATGCCCTTAATTTTTTGAGATTCTAGCTGAAATAGTTGGCAGTGAAATGTATATATTGGGGAGGGGGGAGATGAGAAAGTAAAGGTGGCAAGATGTTAGCAGCTGTCAAATCCTGATTGTGGGTATATAGAGTGTTTATTGTACCAATATTTCTACATTTCTGGATTGTAATATACTTTAGTACTTTTTAAAATTCTAGTGAGTAACAGGGCAATCTTCCTTTCTTTGGGATCCCACATCATCCTCTTGCTCTTTTTCTCACCTCTCCCCTCCTCACTCTCTTGACTGTCTCTAATATAAAGTAAACTTGCACTTTTATAACCGAAACAAATAAAATAAAATTCTAGTGGGAAATAAATATAGATATATCCTTCTCTAATATGGGAACTAAAATATTATATTGAACTGCTTCCAGAGAACTAGATATTTAAAAGGATAATATGAATCCTGCTACTTTCCACTGAAACGATATTATTTCTAAACAGACTGCAGCCTCTCAGGGGTGTACAACCTTTTGGCTTCTCTGGGCCACTTTGGAAGACTTGTCTTGGGCCATGTATTAAATACATAAACACTAATGAAAGCTGATGAGCAAAATAAAAAGAGGCTTGTGCATAAATTTCATGAAATCCATCACCACAGATAAGCAGAAAACTCTTCACATAATCCATATGTGGCCCACAGGCCACAGGTGGGACATCCCTGCATAATCAAAGCAGCCCCAGTTATACCTTGTAGTAACATGTAGCAAATCCCTGTGTCTTAATGTTCATGTCAGTATACTGGTGACTCAACAGATCGCCAAGGCAGTGACCGTCAGTCACACTGCTCTCTGAGTCCACTCTATGTTTATAAAAATCATAGCCTTGAAAAGAGATTCCAAAAAACTTCCCTAATTTGTGCTCATATATTCTCTCGCTTTACCAATGACGATAATTTAATCAAAATATCCCCAGTACAGTATTATCATTTGCCTATTTAAAAATCTATTTTATTCTGCCTGCTTATCTTTTTTCTCCCCTAACACTGAAGCTAACTAAACATATATCAAAATGACTGAGATTCAAGTGGATTAATTATTCTGGAGAATGGCTAGTTCTATTCTATAATGTGTTACTTTATTTTTCAGGAGTTTTCAGGTGCATTCTTCAGTTAATTTCACCTTTTACCATAAATAGTATCCTATTTTTCAAAATATATTATTCTGCATTTAGAATCCCAAATCAACTAGCCAAAATTGAACTTTGTGAACAAAAATATTAAGAAAAGTAGCCTGATACTACATTATGGAGTTTAATGTGTTAAATATGGAAAAATATATATTATAAACCATACCAATAAGCTCTCTCTTTTTGTTCTCCATTTTGTAAGAAAACTCTTGCACAGAAGGGCCCGAGTTTGTTGGCACACTCTTATCTCTTTTTTAACCATTCTGTCCTGTTTATTGAGAAAGAGGGTAAATATTGCAGAGCAATACCTTGGGGGGGGACAGAAAAAATAATAAAGTTCAATTATACAAAGACTATGAACACTTGGAAAGCACACTTTTCAGATGTACCAATTAAATGCTTTATTTGCCATTGCAGTAACATGTTCAATCAGGATTTTTTAAAAGAATATAAAGTATTAATGAATATAAAATGTCCTCTCCAGGCTTCGTGGTTAGGATAGAAATGAAGGCAATGGTGTGTCATTTTTCCTCTGGCCTCGGGAGTCACTTTTTTTTATTTGAAATCTTAACATTATAACCACCTAACCTAGGTCTGTAAAGATGATATTAGTAATGTTTAAAAATGCACTTTACCCTTTATTTGTGAAAACAAATTTAACAGAAATAAAACACTTGTCAGGTCCTCATAGGTCAGCAACTTTCCCACAAGCAGTCTATACTTAAACTTTGGCATGTTTATTTGACATCAAGGTAAACCAAAACTGAATAACATTATAGTCATTCTTAGAATCCCAAAGACTTGATTTCTCCTCTTTAAATTTGTGGGTTCCCGTTTATGAAGTAAGTATGTAAGAAACACATAGATTAAAACCAAAACCAGCAGTCAGCTAATATGACTGGAGTAATTGATTTATAATAGTAATCCTTCTCCTTTGTCTTTAGTTCAAAATTTCAAAGATGATCATTTGGTATCATCTTTGGTACTATGGTAACGACTATAGTTACTTAAGACCATTTGGATAAATAATAATGTTATATACAAATTACGACTTTCAGAGAACTTGCTATGTCCCCCTACTTTTGTTAAAATAATGATAAAGGCAACAAATAGCAAAATCATCCCTAAATTCTATCTTGAGAAAGCAAAAACTTGGAAACAACAATCTTCACTTATGGATGCAAAGGTCTGTTTGAGTAGTTTCATAAGCAAACCACGAAGATATTTTCAAAAACAAAACAAAATAAAACAAAACACAAAAAACAGGAACACAGGAAAAAGCAGATTGTTCTGATGCTTACCTATTTCACAAGAAGTAAAACTTCCCAAATTCTCAAAAGGGTATTCAGAGAAGTATCAGTCTGACAAATAAATTAGCAATATTCATATACATTTCTGACTCCATTTGTCTTTCGTTTTTATCACACTAAAATATTATACAGTGACGTTTAAAATTTGAATTACCAGAACTACAACACAAAACATACAGTAATTTAGAACCATCTGAATAATACAATAATTTTAACAATGTTAGGCAATCTGTTTGGCATTGGCTACATACTTTATGTCTTAAGGAGCTCATACAAAATAAAAATTAAAAACAAATTTTAACTTACAGTCAAGAAAATAAGAGAAAAAACTGAGATGCACTTCGGATTCACTGGTCTCTTTTTGTCCAAGAGAACAGCTAAGAATCCTCTAAAGACTTCTTTTAAAACAGTTTTAATTCTGTTGGCCTCTTGAAAAGTAGTAGTCTGTGTGCACAAAGCCTGCCAGTGCGTTTTGTGGCAGCGGTCTCTGTGCACAAAGCCTGCCAGTGC